ATGACTGCTTCTTCATCTGCGTTGACGGGCTGACAAAAATGGCTGCGTTTGGCACCAACGGGCCGAACTGGTGTAAGCCCTCTACATAGGTGACAGACAGATAGATCTCGTAGATAATATGAAGCATAGACTGTCTTGACGACGGTCTGGAGATGCAGCAAGATACACATTTAATGCCCTAACCGGGCAGAGTGAGAGATCCTCAATGTTGTCGGGCCCCAGTATTGTGGACAGCAGTGGAATGACAAAAAGTCTGTCTGACTGTTCCATCTAAGGCAAAGAAAAAAATTTGCCATGCCTCTTCCGTTCAAAATGCACTCAGTTAACATCCAAGTTCTGAGATGTGTGCAGTGGTCGCAAGGGCCACTAGGAAGGTGGTCTTGAAAGTAATATGCCTGAATTCTTTCTCCTCTAGAAGGTCATACTCATCTGAGGTGAGGTGTCTGAGGACGACCAATAGATCCCAAGCTAGTGGCCGGAATTTCTTAGACTGGTTGGCTAATTTATACAAGCATAGTAGAGACTGGAGTTCAGGGACAGTATAGAATTTAACACCCGAGCCTGTGGCTGCCAGATACATAGCTAAAGTAAAGCCTTTCAATTTCAAGAGCACATACTCAGCAACTATCTGAGGTCATGCTGTGGTAGGGGAAGTGATAATCGAATAACCCTTGGCAATCAAGGACTTATGCAGATGTGCCTATCTGAGTGCCTATTTGAGTGAGGGTGTCGGGAAGAGGTAACGGGTTTGGATCGGCGAGTTCTTGTAGGTCGACAAACCAACTTCTGGCAGGCCAATAAGGCACGACCAAAAGCAGTGTGATCTCCTGTGTAGATCATGGCTTAAGTAGAACTTGAGGAAGTAATGCCAGTGGTGGAAACGCATACGCGTTTAGGCCCTCCCAGGATATTGCTAGTGCATCATGTTCCCACGCCAGGGTATCCAGGGTCAGGGACACGAACCTGGCTGAGTGTTGAATCGGGTCGCAAACAGGTCCACCACTGGGCTCGAATTAGGGAAGCAGCAAGTCTTGAATATCTGAAAATGCAGTTTCCAAGTAGCAGCATACCGGGTATTTGCTTAGATTCTGTATGAAGTAGAAAGTCATAAATCATACGAATATTATCCCCAATATATCTGTCAGACATAAATCCTGTTTGATCTTCGTTAATGATATTGAGGAGCACTTTTTCAATCAGTCTGCAATGACTGAGGATAGAAGTTTCTATGTTGAGTTCAATAGGGTAATTGGACACCAGTTTTTGAGAAATTGTTTTGGTTTATCTCCTTTTGGGATGCATGTTATAATTCCCTCTTTTTGAGTTACAGACCAGATGGCCAGTTTCAAGATCTCTAAAGGAGTATTCATAAGTGAAACCATCTGAACCTGGACTCATGTTGTTTTTAGATGTTTTTAATGCAGTTAATAGTTCATCTTTAGTCTTAGGTCCTTCAATATTGCTTGGATTCTCAATCTTACATATGTATTGGTCACAAAGTAAATTATTCAGGTCTATATCATTCACTAGGTGCTCTCTGGATGAGTATAGGTTATGATAAAATTCTGGAGCTTCATTTAGACTGACTGACTGACTGACTGACTGACTGAGTTTGGTTTTACGCCTTTTTTAGCAATATTCCAGCAACATCACGGCGGGGACACCAGAAATGGGCTTCACACATTGTGCCCATGTGGGGATTCGAACCCAGGTCCTCAGCGTGACGAGCCAACGCTTTAACCATTAGGCTACCCCAGCCCTGCTTCATTTAGAAGATAAAGTTACTCTGTTTTCAATTTTGTGGTCTGTTATCATTGATTTAAGGCCGCTATAGACTGTTTGCAGTGAAAACGTACCGATGAATTTCACTTTAAACAAAAAAGTAAATCAAATAAAGTGAAATTAAGATTGCGAATCCACATAATTTTACTTTGCCAACTGAACATTTAAATCTCAGAAATGTATTCAACTTGGGATAAAAGTTGTTCAAGAAACGATCATAGTTTCAAATCGCTATTATTGGTTTGTATTACAAGGGGGTACGCGCAGTAATTGGAACAGTGAAACAAATGCCCGTGCGGTGCGTGATGAGCTCTAACTTAGACTACCGTAGAAACCAACCCTTCTTGTTCTCGGGGTTTCATTTAATGTGCATACCCCCTTGTAATACGAACCAATAATAGCGATTTGAAACTATGATCGTTTGTTAAACAACTTTTATCCTAAGTTGAATAAAATTCTGAGATTTTAATGTTCAATTGGCAAGGTAAAAATATTTATTGATACATTCCCCTTCAACAATCCATTTAGCTTTAGATCTTACCAGTACACCATCTAACATTCTTTGTCTTAGTTGTTGCAGTTCTTGTTTTTTAGTTTCTAATTCTTCTACAATAGATTCACAAAGTTGTTCTCTAAATTTTCTATTTCTGTCTTTAGTCTTTCTTCTTTCTTGTTTAACTCTTTTTTCTTGAATAAAGAATATGAGAGTGACTTTCCTCTAATTTGCATTAGAAGAGCTTCTAAACACAAATGGTCATTGATTAAAAATTCAAGGTCAAAATTAGAAACATTATGAAGGTTCTCCAAGTTATAAATTGGGGCAGCATAACCTCTTTTGACCTAGAATATAATACCTTTAATTTCCTCTACAGATTTCTTATCCTGCAACAAAGAATTATAAAACTTCCAATAGATCTTTTTTTAGGAAAGTTTTCAATATTCAAATAGAAACTAGTGAGTGAGTGATCTGTTCTATACTCTGGGTTTATCTTAACTTGCGACACATCTCTACATAGATTTTCTGACATCAGAATCTAGCCTGTTTTACTGGTATTGTGTGTCGCCAAGAATATTGTCTTAATCAAGGGTTATTGTCCTGCCATATATCTATAACATTAAGTTGCCCTATAAGTTCTGATAGTTGCTCTCTGGCCTTTGGATTGTTAACATTCTTAAAATTACTAGTATCTTTATTTTGATCAAGAACAAGGATAAACTCGCCACCAAGGATGCAAGATTCATTTCCAAATTCTTTGATTTTTTGGGGGGTGTCTTTCGACGTGGGGATACTGTAAATTAGTAAGTTCATTTTCCGACTATACAGTTCCTGAGTGAAAAACCGGCGGTCCATTTCTTTACGTAGTTTATCGCAATCATCCCTTATTTTCGTAATATCTTGCTTATATACCTCTAATTGGGCAGAATTAAATTCCACGCTCTGAATGATGCTGTCAGTTTTTGTTCTCAAGTCAGCAATTTCCACTCTTAAAGCATCGATTTGTCTGGCAAGGTCTTTGGTTTGTTGGCTGAGAGCATCAGTGATGGACTTGTTGATATCTTCGGGCCATGTCGTCTGGCATGGCACCTGGCTCCGACTTGCAACATGGTTCGTCAGTTTTTTCATTGTTCATTGTTTTATTCAGGTGAGTATCGTCCTTGCTTTGACCACTCGTTGGGGTTTCGTCAACCGCTTTACCCCTACCACCTCCACGTCTTGATGTGACTGACATATCTTATTTCTCAGTAACAGTCTGCAGGAGTGAAAAAATCAGCCGCCTGTTGACATGAGAGCGCTACCAGAAGTGCTTCCAGCAAACCTATTGAAAATAATGCTGATCTATATCACTCGATTTGATAATCATCCCGTGGGCCAGTCATTCCTCACCATTCATGAGCCCTCATTGTCCATTTGCAGAAAAAGGTCTTCAAAACATGACCACAGCCCGCACATAGCCCTCATATGAACAAACATCAAACATAGTTGGGACTATGATGAACGCTAGAGATCCTTCGTGTTCATAATCTGCTGGAGTTGAAGCATGACAAATACAGAGGATTGCCAGTATGAAGTAGATATCATTATGTGTTCAAGGTGTGGCTATACCAGGTACAGATGAGGTCGCCAGTGGTGACTCATACAATCTCAACAGTCATCATTTGAGAGTGAGTGAGTGAGTGAGTTAATATTTAACGTCACATCGGCAATATCTCAGCCATATCATGACAACATCATTTGAAAACTGTGTGACAATCAAATTGATGGTTTCTTCATAGTGCCCATACTTTCTGGCATTGTTGATAACGTGTATTTTGACTTTGTGTATTACTCTCATACTGTAAGTAAATTCTCGCCAAACTTTCAATATTGGTTCTAATCAGAGTAAAATTCATCACAGTTACCATTTTAATATGTAAAATTTTATTTTCAAAGCATATACAACATGTAATGTTTTCCCAATAATCATCTACAAAAAATGGGGAGGGTTGCTTGACTAATGATCATGTGTGTAGTTAAAACATCCCAACTTAGTTCCAGTTGAAAATGTAAAACCTCAAACTCTGGGTTTTATATTTTCGAACAAAACCGAGGAGGAGTGTTCTCACTAACCAATGCAACCTCTACAGGCAAAAAATACCAAAAAGATCATGATACCTTACAGTGAAACAATACAACAGTCAGGGGTACAAAAACAAATTTGATGTCAAGATAAAGACCAACTTCAGAATGCAGACAACTGAAGTTAGTGACATGTACAGCAAGACTGACTTCATCACCTGCCTCATTGGCACAGAATGAAAACAGTGGGTTACAACATTAAACACGATGTGTAAAGTTGCAGGTGACATGTGAAACATTATGATTTTTAATCAGTCAAAATTCAACACTAGATGTATATTGATAATGCTGTTTATTAAATTCAAACTCTCACTAGAAAGAAGAACCTGTCACAAGGTTTTATGAGACAACAAGAGACTTTCAATACAATGGGCAAAGGTGGCTGTAGGTAACTAAAGCAACTGTTTGATCTCATGTCTATTCCAAGTCTGATTTTGAGTTAATTACTGCCTGAAAACATCATGGTCATATCACAATGCAAGATTACGTAATCGTTGTTAAAACCAGTCATTACTAGTCAATCACAACAAGAGAGGGTGGGATGGGATGGGGAATGGGATCGTGATTATCTCATGAAAGCAACATCAGTGTATGTACTCACATCTTCTGGAACAGTGTCCAACTCTGCTTGTGCTGGTCCTACCTCTTTGAGGCTGGGAATGTTACCTTCATAGTATTGTTGGAGAAGTGATACAGCTCGACTCCCATATCCCATCTGCCAGAAAACACAAATATACAGTACCGGACCCTGGCCATAAGTGTTAGTGATTTTGGAAACAAAGTTGATTCTCTCTAAAATCTGTGCCAATAAATTTGTGCCGCAGGATAAACCAAAGTTTAACCAAAGCCTATTTTCTAAAACTAGATTCCCTGTCATATGTCTGTCATGTGACATGTGTAAAACTTATTGTGTGCTTGTGTACTTCCACTGTACATACTGTATGCACCAGCCGGTTGTCAATGGCATAAAGTGATACCTGACATGAAAGAATTTATTATACTGTTACATAAAGAAGAAATTCAGAAATTGTTCAGCAGTTTGTCAAATCTTGTTCTACAATGAAAAGTGTCTGCGTCAGTAGAAAACTACCAGCGAAGTGGACGATGAAAACTGTTCATTGATCGCGTTTGACACTCTTTGATCAAGTGTGTGAAAAACAACTGGATCGCTATAAAACATCAGTGTCAATTCAGAAGTCAATTTAGAAAAAAATCAGATTGTGGTATCATAAACGGAGAAATTTCTTTGTAGATAATTAGTGTGTGAATGTGTGAATGTGTGAATGTGCGTATGTGTGCAGAAAGGATGATGTGAAGTCTGTGATGATATGGAGCTGTGTCACCTTCCAGGTAACAGGTACTCTTACATATTCATGGACCACAATGCTCCTGTATATGGTCCCAGAATTGTCAGAAATTACATTGAAGAAAATGCCCCTACAGTCTACTGATTTCAATATCACAGATAATATCTGGTAAAAAGTTAAGAGGCACTTGCAACTTAGTTTTTCACATCAACACCCCTAAGGAACTGTACACACAAATTCAACTTGAGTGCAAATCTCACTGGAGAAATGGTTAGAATCTTTGTGGGGCATAGTGGGCGAACTGGCTAAGGCGCCAGGCTATTGATCCAGCGAGCTTGAGGTGTCAGGATCAAGCCCACCTGTGACTGTAAAAACATTGGAGTCAACTTTGTGTGCAGACTCTTTCAGTGTTGTCACAACCCCTAGTGTACAGTAGACAACCCTGTGCACTTATAAGAACCCACGAATACGTTGGTATATGACCAGATGGTGGCCACATGAATACGTGCAAACACCTAGTTGCGGGTACAGCAACGTGCAGTAAACTTGGACAAAGTACGGTGACTATGTGTCCCAGTCCACCCAGCAGTGAATGGGTACCTCGTTAGAATGGGAAAGTCACATGAACTCGGTGTGCCTAGTGGCTGCAAGAGTTGTATGATCCCCGGGGAGTTGAAATTGATAGTACGATGTGCCGTAGAGATTGACATCCAATGATCGAGGAAAAAAATACCAGCGCTTTGAGTATGTACTAGTTGCATTGATATGTGCACTATATAAATTTCCTATAATAATAACAAGAAGACAAAATCATCAATATCCCCCGCAATGGCAAAATACTCTCCATGAATATGTCTACGAGTTATGATTATGTCAAATGTTTTGGTGAGTATATAGAAAAGTGGAAGGAGAGTATTAAAAGGTTTAAAAGTTCTGCTCCAGATATGCAAAGAGATTTTATTCAGAATTCTAAAACTACCAAAAGGCACCAGCACACCACCAGACTAATGTATGTGCCAAGTTTGGTGAAGAATTAGTGAACGGTTTTAGAGTTCTACCACCAATTTCAGTCTAAGTCGAACTTGTTGCCATGGAAACGCTAAAAATATTTAATTCAGAATACCAAAACTACCAAAAGGCACCAGTACACCACCAGGTCTATCCATGTGCCAAGTGTGGTGAAGAAATATTGAACGGTTTTAAAGTTCTGCTCCGGAAAAGACAAACGTGCACGGACGCACAGACGGAGTCCATTTTAATAACCCCCGCAAAATGAGTTGCGGGGGATAATAATAGAGGTACCATGGGTCCATGACTATGACCATGAAATGCATGAGAAAACAAGCAGTTGTCACTGAGGTGACATAATCCCCCACCGCAAATTATCAAATCAAACTTAAAATGTAACTAGAAAGTGGTTTTACTCGTAAAAAACAGATGTCTTCCCCTTATCCCAATTCAACGTTGAGACCTCAAACAATTCATTTGATTCCTTCAATTTCAAAATCTCTAAGTATGAAAATACATATTATTGATAGTATGTTATCATGTTTGTAAAGCCTTCTTTTAATACTTTTATATTCAATTGAACTTAATTGCGTATCAACAACTCCACAGTTATATTTTACAAAACATTCAGAATTCTAAATGATTCTCTTTCGAAATGCATGAATGAATCTGTCGTTTTTCAGTCACAAAGTTGTCTCTAGTCAATAAAAATTTCAACAAATGCTGAAACCAAAATCAAATTTTATCACATTCAGTTGTGGATGTAACTTTTTCACTGGAATCTAATAAAGCACAAGATAGGTGATATCATAAAAACAGTAGTAGCATGGAACAACACCAGATCTTCGGTATGCTGTATCTCTCTCATAAATATGACCAATAAGTGAAACAGAAAAAAATACAAGTGTTTGCCACTGATATGGCAATGTCCCCCGCCGCTAAAGAATGGAATATCTATATTTACTACTTTTTATTTTTGGGTCACATACAAGATGCCTGAAATGACTGGTGTCTGCATAATCACTCAAGGTAGGCTGTCAACATACTTGAAAACATTGGGTGCAATGTTTTATGAGATATCGCCTTTAAAAAGCGGTCAAAGTATCATGGTGACCTTGAAGATAAGGTCAAGGTCACTCAAATAAACTGGTGTCTGTGTATACTCCAATGTAAACTGTCACCAAATTTGAAGACATTGGGTACAACAGTCCATGAGATGCCGTGTTAAGAAGAGTTTGAAAAGTGTTCAAAGTGTCGTGGTGACCTTGAAAATAAGGTCATGGTCACCAAAAATCAACTGGTGTCTACGTAATTCCCCAATGTAGGCTGTCACCAAATTTGAAGACTGGATAGAACAGTACCTTGACCTTGAAAATAAGGTCAAGGTCACCTAAATAAACTGGTGTCTGTGAAATCCCCCAAGATAGGCTTTAACCAAATTTGAAGACATTGGGTACAACAGTCCATGAAATATCGCGTTAACCAGAGTTAAAAGCGTGCAAAGTGTCATGGTGACTTGAAGATAAGGTGAAGGTCACCCAAATGGACTGGTGTGTGCATTATCCCCAATGTAGGCTGTCACCAAATTTGAAGACATTGGGTACAACAGTTCATGAGATATCACGCTAACAAGAGTTTGAAAAGTGTTCAAAGTGTCGTGGTGACCTTGAAAATAAGGTCAGGGTCACCCAAATCGACTGGTGTCTACGTAATCCCCCAATGTGGGCTGTTACCAAATTTAAAGACATTGGGTACAACATTTCATGAGATATCACGTTAACAAGAGTTTGAAAAGTGGTCAGTGTCGTAGTGACCTTGAAAATAAGGTCAAGGTCACCTAGATTGACTGGTGTCTGCATTATCTCCCAATGTAGGCTGTCACCAAATTTGAAGACATAGGGTACAACAGTTCATGAGATATCGCGTTAACAAGAATCGGGACGTATGGACGTACGTACGCTGCTGAATACATAGTCCCCCGTTCCGCGTTGCGACGGGGGACAAAAAGTGAAAGAATAGTTCACACCCCCAAAAGGCAAATCTACATGATATGGAGAGGCAGTATAGCAAATTCGGTAAAGATGGGTCAAACAGTTTCAGAATTCTGCTCCAGAAACAAACTTTACCCTTAAAAAGTCCAAATTGTTGCCATGGAAACAGAACAAAATAAAATTTTAAAAAACCTCAAACCACCAAAAGGCACATCTACATGATATTGAGAGGCAGTATACCAAATATGGTGAAGATTGTTGAAGTAGTTTTCGAGTTATGTTAAGGAAACAATGGGAATGCTGACGCCGACGGAAACTCAACCAAAAACAATATGTCTCCCGACCCTTAGGGGGGAGACATAATGAAAGTGAAGGTCATAGTTTAAGAAGAAGTTAAAATTAATGTCAACATAAACATGACTAGTCAACCTCTCTTGATATCTTGCTCTGTAGCTGTTCAAGCACACAAATATTTTCAAGACTCACTTTGACCTCGACATGAATGTCATGGTGTATGAAATATGCAGAAAGTAGTAATAAAGAAATGGCTTATAATAAAAACATTCAGGGGAAGTCTTGAAAGTCTATGAAGAGAATCAAGTGAACCGTTCTTGGGATAACTTGCTGACAATCTTAACATGCTGAAGTCTTCAAAGTGTTGCCATGACCTTGAAGATTACGTGAAGGTCACCAAAATCATCTGGACCCTGCGCATTCCCCAGATGAAGCTTGGTGTCAAATATGAAGAAATTCCAGAGAATGGTTCTTGAGGTATCTGGCTGACAAGCTTAACATGCAGGTTAACATGCTGAAATCTTCAAAGTGTTGCCATGACCTTGAAAATTACGTGAAGGTCACCAAAATCAACTGGCCGCTGTGCATTCCCTAGGTGAAGCTTGGTGTCAAATATGAGGAAAATCCAGAGAATGGTTCTTGAGGTATCTCGCTGACATCCTTAACATGCAGGTTAACATGCTGAAATTGTGTTGCTGTGACCTTGAAATTATGTTAAAGTCACCCAAATCCAGAGAATGGTTCTTGAGATATCACGCTGACAAGGGTAAAACGTTAAAAGTCCCCTTGTGACCTTGAGATGAAGGTCAAGGTCACCAAACCTGACTGGGACCTAACGCATACTTTGATGAACCTAGGTACCAAGTATGAAAAGAATCTAGTCAATGGTTCTTAAGATATTCCAATTCGTTGTTTGTCTGTTACATCTCACCATATTTCCTGAAAATGGTTATCAAAACGTCCAAATCTAATACAGCTCCTGGGCCTGATGGCATTCGAAACCGGTACTGGAAACTGTTCCCCTGTGTCCAAACACCATTACTTCACAGCTTCAATTCTCTCGTGGACACAGGTGATGTTCCTCCATGGTTCTGCAAAGGTCGAACAATACTCCT